GTCGGCGTTCTTAGGATAGCAGAGTTTGTCAGCCTCGGATGGCACTGCTGGGTTCTTTCTCATAGCCCTCGGAAACTGGGCCTTATTTACGTTTCCATAATAGACAAAAACTAAGAATGACAAGCAACGCAAAATGCCTGACCTGAAACGCCTATTGTCCATGAATTCCCATCCTTCTTGCCCCTTGTCATAACTTTCATAGCAGACTCTGCAATTTCGAGACAAACGCTTACTGACGCCTCCGCGATGCGATTTGGGCGTCGACCTCCTGGGATTCCTTTCTAAGCTCCTTCACAACGGTCTATTGCGATAGTCTAGTCAGTGTCATGTCTACTTTGGGCTCGATAGATAGAGTATTATTCTTACGGCAAGAGCTTCTGGGTTCACGCCATTCTCGATCATGGAGATGCAGATCGACAGGGTGCGGCGGTCCAGGTGGCAGTTCTTTTCACACGGTCACGTTAGCATGGAGTGGGACTTTGAGAGGATGGTAGTAGGTGGGCGTCGCAACTGACGAGGATGGTAGAGATCTCATGCAAGATGTCGACAGCCTGTTGGGCCGCGGCCTGCTTCCCGCTTCGGTCGTCGGCGGGCATTTCCGTATGGTGTTTATTGCTGATTGCGAGATTGCGAGATTGTATGAGTGAGGAGAAGGTTATTGAATGGACGTCGCTTTGTTTGACGGGAGCGGGGCCAATCAACTTCAGAGAATAACGGCAGCCTGTGAGGTGCTCGAGGTGGATGTCTTAGTCGGACGGAGTAGAGAGTCGGCAGGGGCCGAAGTTGCCTATTAGGAAAACGCGTCTGAAGAGTGGCCCCGACGCGCCGGGCGAACTAATGGCAGGGGTTGACTGGGCTAAAGTGGGCAACTACCGGAAATGGGGCCCATCTTTTTTTTGTATGAAGCCGCGACTGACCGAACTTTTTCACCTTTCTTAGTCCGTTCAGTCTTCCGTCGCTGTCTCACTCTTTGCTTTATCGTCATGACCTCGAATTTGCTGCAACAGTCAGCTCATGTTTTCTGACAGCTGCGTACCTCATTGTTGTTGTTTCCATACTACTAGCTAGGCACCCGTCCACGCATGACCACGGATCGTTCATAGCCCGCCAGGCTTTTCCATCTTTCTTCGCATGATGAAGCACACCCCACCGCTCTCTCACGATATGCCCAGTTTCCCACGAATACACTACTTAGACTTACGGGAAACGAACGGGTCTAATGGCTGACGCACGGGAAGAGACAAGCCGCTTATATGGCCCCCCAAAAATCACGATTATTCCTCATGAAGGAATTGAAGATGGACCACCTCAACTGCATATGAGCCGGGTGCCAGGTCAAGGTGAGCGGGTGCATCGGGCCGGATATAGCTTCTCACATTTGCTGACCTTCCGATAGCCCAAGCTCTTCGTATCATACAGGCTCCTGAGACCCTTTACCCTGCCTCTCGCTCTACGGAGCTGGCGCCTTCTTCAACACTTTGGGGTTCCCAGCGAGTGCAAAGACGATGGCTCTTCAACGCTCACCCAGAGGCTTTCGCGGGCAGCTCCGAAGCTTCCAGCTTTCTGTACGAAGGACTCGCTCAGCTCATGCGGCCTGATGCCGCGCCGACGACTCAGCCACTTATGACAATCAGTCAGATGGCAGATGTCACCAATCACACGCGGGTCGTGCCCGTCCCCGTACTGGCCACGGCTGCCGGCGAGTCGGGTGAGCTCCTCCGTCTGTCCAAGATTGAGGAGACAAACTGGCAATGGGGCGAGAACGAGAGCCCAACGCTTCGGATGTTGAGCATCGACCAGCACGACAAGGAAGAATCTGTCTTGTGGTCGAGCGATGGAGCCCCGATTCTGCAGATCAAGCCTGCGCTGAGCTTGGTCCGGTTCGAACCCACGAGGTGGCTGCTGGTGCAGAAGCGGACTTCGACTACCATTCTTCAGCCGGATTACCACAAAATTCCTGTTTCAGAACGCCCGTCGGGGATTGACCAGGCTATCGAGCGCCCATCTCGAATCAACCCGAGACCCGTCCTCACCATCTCCTCGGAGCAGACTGGAGGCTTTGCGCATTCTGATGTGTCTTTCAGCTATGGCTCGCAGAAAAAGCCGCCTCAGCTGGCCATCATAGACGAGTGCGGCTACTACAGTGTCTGGGATGTCAAGGGTCGAGACATGGTGGGATCCAGCGGCTTACGTCCAAAGCTCCGGCATTGTGGCCACATTCACTTGGGTGTTACGGAGCAGCTCCCCGACGAGGACTCGCCGGCTTTCCGCGCAGAGCCTCATGGCGTGATGTGGGTCGGCGCGGCCGGCCCGGGTGTAGATCTTTGGGATGTGCCCGAAGGGCAAGATGTCGATGCAGGAAACGACCTGGCTGCCCTGACGTCGAGGTCCAAAAAACTCGTCATCTGGAACCGCGCAAAATTCGAGGTCATTGATATCAAAGACGCGACGTTCCGAAAGAGCTTGGTCATACTCAAGACGGACGAGCCAGACCACATACTAGACGTGAAGCCAAATCCTTTGAACAGGAGTCAGATCTTCATCCTCACGACCTCAGGTTTCTTTTGGATCGAGACGTCGTCTTCAGGGACGACAGCCAACAAGACAGGCGGACTCTCCATTCTGCAATCCTTTGCACACCTCAGGGGCTCGGATGCGGACGCTCTCAGGCTCACCGTGCATCACGGCGGTTCGGAAGCAGGAAACGAAAAATGCACAGTTTTCATCTACTCTGACAGATCTCCAGAGGTAGATGTTTACTGGTTTTACGCGCCTGAAGACACGGGATTGCCACAGTTTGAGCACCATATCATGAAGCTCACGGGCGACGCGACGAAGCTTCAGAGTTTGTGCCCAGTGCCGGCTTTCCTGAGAAACCCCTCCCCTGCAACAGCCAAGGGCCCAGGCTTAGAGTACCTCAACCATGACATCCGATTCCAGCAGCTGTTCGTTCTTGGCAGGGACCTCAGCTTGAGCCAGAGCCTCTTTGCGATCTCGGCCGGCCCTGATCTCGATGTGGTGGCTCCCGATAGCAGTCGCGAGTGGTCAAGAGACGGGCGCAGACAGGCGCATAACAAGAGGCGACGACAGTTCCTGCAGCATTTTGAAGGTACTTTTGTCGTTCCCGATGGCCTGGGTGATATGGATGAGCTGGTGCAGCGCCGCGCCAATCGGTACCAGGAGCTCATGGAGAGTGAGCAGGCAGGAGAGGAAGCACAGCTTAAGCAGCGGTGGCCTAGAGGTCTGAACCTGGACCAGCTCGTATCCCGCGTCAATGTTTCCATCGAGTCGGTCATCATGGCGTCAGAGCAAGCTACCATTGAGGGTCCTCTGTCTGTATTTGAAGCCATACGGGAAGCAGCCGTCAACTGTCTAGAGACTGAGGGCGGATACATCCCGCTGCACACTTTGTAAGTTTGGATCTTCCCATCATGGCTTTCATGCACTCATTAGTGTTAGGCACGAATACGAAAACACCTTTGAGGCGCCTCCTGTCTCCCATGAGGCAGTAGCAGCGTGGGACTCTCGCTTCCAGGAGATGATGAACGCGCAGACCGATCGTGTCATTGCACAACCTCTCACATCGCAATTTCTACACGGCTTGGAAACATTGTCACCCCTCGCAGACATCCGCGACCAGCTCGAGGAGATGTGGAGTCCAGCGGGCCTCCCGCCTAGAGCACAGCGATCACGGAATGTCGTGCTAGCAGAGACGGCCGAGGCCATCGCTCGATCCCTCTTCGGTGTGGCCGTACTCGACGCGAACCTCCCGACCAGAGAAGACGAGTCCCCCACCTGGGTTCCCGAACCTCCACCACTACCAGTCCGGCAGCCGAGCCAACGCTCAAGTCAGCGCTTCTCATCGTCACCCGCAAAGCGTAGCCAAATATCGTCAAGCCAGCGACTCTCACTCTCTCCGACCAAACTAAGCCAGCCCCTCAGCCAGAGAATTTCTCTATCGCCAACCAAACGCGTCCAAGCCCTCGGCCACCGCCTATCCTTCTCCCCTTCCAAAGGCGCCCGCTCCCAGCCCTTTGACAACGTTCCCCCCTCATCGTTCCCCTTTCCCTCCTCGGGGCCCCTATTCTCCCAGTCCTCCTCCGTCGGCCCCTCCTCGAGCTTCCCCGACGCCGCCCCATCAACACCAACGACACCCGCACCCACCACAATCGCAACCACGGCTCTCCAGCGCCTAAGCATGCTCGCCGAAGACATCAACACCGCAGACGCCCCCGCCCGCCAACACAAAGTCCTCGCCTACTGGCCCACAGCCCGCGGCGTCAGCACGGAAGGCTACGTCTCCTCCGTCCTCGCCTCCTCCACAAAGCACATGGACGTCCTCAACGAGCGCCGCCACCGCGCCGAATCGCGCCGCCGCAAGCGCAAGTCGCAGTTCCTCGGCGCGTCGTCGCAGCACGGGTGGGGAACGAGCGAGATGGACGACGTGTTCGAGTCATCTGGGCCTGGGTCCGGGCCCGCGACGAAGACGAAGATGCAGACGGCGACGAACACCGGGTCCGAGTTTGCACCACTGTTGCCGCCCTCAACGCAGCCTCTTCCCAAGCTTGCGCCGCCCATCATCGGCTCGAGCCAGTTTCCGCCCGTGCCGTCTTCTCAGGCTATCTTCTCGTCGCAGATGCCGCTCGTCATGTCGCAGCCCATGGCTGGGAGGCACGGGATGCGGTCGCCGGGGAAGAAGAAGAAGAGAAAGTCTGGTTTCTAAGGGTCCCCGGGATATGGGAACAAAAGGTTCGCCTTGGATCACTGTATTGGAGATTTTCGCCTGTGTCTTTCATAAATGCTACGGTCGTGTCGGAGATTTACCATAGTCCCCCCCTTTTTGGGGGGGTGATGATGAGCTGTTCCTCAGCTCGATGCAAATTACTCTCAACAAAACTCACTTAAGCCCTCTCACTTTTTTTTTCCTCTTCATCTCGCATCCGTGACAAGTCTCTGCATCTCAACCTCCATCATCTTCAAGCAACCCCACTCCTATTTACTCACTCCCGGCCTCCAATACCGCTCCCAACATCGTTCACCCCCGTCCCCTTGACCTTGTGATCGCTCGGATTCGCCGCCGCCTCGTACAGGATATTCGCCGGCGCCCGCCCCAGCTGCATCCACTCGCCCTTGAACCCCAGATACGACGCCCTCGTCTCGCCCTCGTCGCCGTCGCCGAAGTTGTCCTCGAAGAACAGCGTCAGGCGCTGGACGCGCCCGAAGAGGCTCCGCTTGACGGGGATCTCTTGGACCTGCGCCGTGCGCGAGAGCTCGAATTCCTGCGTGGGGCGCGCGTCTTCGGCGGAGGCGAAGTCGAGGTCGTCGCGGTTGATGAAGAGTTTGAGGGTGCGCGGGGCGGAGGGGGAGTCGGAGGTGCGGAGGAGGAGGGCGTGGAGTTTTACTTGGCCGGTGAAGCTTGGGTGTGTTAGTGGTGTTCCAGGGCGGGGGGGGGGGGGGTGAAGAAGTATTTGGTGAAGGGTTTATATACGTGTGTATGTGTACTGAATGAGATGGATAGAATGAGTGAAATATGAAATGTAAAGCATAACATAGCACAATATCTCATGTTCATGATAGACCCAAGCACATTAAATGAGACAACACCAAATGAAGAGTAAATCGATGAAGAAAGTAGCGATTCACTCACGGAACGTTAACCAACAACTGCTCATCACAGTCGCTCACGACCTCGGGCTCGGCGTCCAGCCTCTCGGCCCACGTCTTCTTGACGACGGCCCGCGCGCTGCCGATGGCCGCCTCGTTGAGGGCCGTCACCTCGTCAAAGTTGATGTGGCCGTACAGCGAGTGCTGCAGCGCGGGCGTGACGTCGTCCGAGTGGTCGTGCTCGTCGTGGCCGTGGCCGCCGTGGCTGTGGCCGTGGTGCTCGTCGTGGCAGTGGGACATTGTGTGCGGTTTTACTATCTTGTGTTCTCGTTTGTGTCTCTTGGTGTTTTTAGTGGTTTGCTGATGAGACTGGTGGTGACGATGGTGGGGGTGTTTTGGAGGGGTCGTTTTGGCACTGGTGAGGGGTTCCTCCTTTCCGGTGGGTAGTTTGGGTGATATGTTGTAATGCGTGGTAGCTAGACGAGGTCTTCCCTCTGTGGTGATATCTCGTTGCGCAAAGACCGTTTGGGTATCAAGGATGCGAAATGAATAAGTGATGAAGATGAGCCGTTCTACGTTTGCTTAATGATGCTGCGGATGATCAAGTTCAGTGAACAAACGGCCCCACTTTCGAGCTAGAAGGTTCCGTGATTGGCTCTGAGACCACCTCCGCTGGACGTCGAGGTCCGTTGCGGCGCCGTTGACGAAAAAAGTTTTTACCAAAATAGGTGGTTTCGGTTCATAGGAGTAATTCCTTTATGTTGATGATTAAACGCTTTGAATGTGTGAAATGGAATACCGGGCCGTCCGTGCTGTTTCCTCGTCTTGTCAGGCGGGTGAAAACTGGGTCGGGCTCACCTATGACTACCATGAATTCACACTTTACGTGGACCAGAAGGAGCTCCATACCTTTTAATTTTCTGATAATCTTTTGTAGTAGATGTCATATAGCCATTCTTTCATTTCATCGTGTCCTGGTTCTGTTCACATCAGTATATCTGTGCCAAATTAGCTGTTGAGCGGTCCCAAACACATTGTATGTGGCTAGCTAGATCTCTATATAGCGACAATTTGACTACATCCTACAGGTACCATGATTTACACGTTCTCATATGTTTCTGGGAAAACTCTAGATGTCTACGTCTTGGTAAAACCGCGGGTATGCCCTCGGTTTGTGATATAGACGGCGTGTACTTTCCCGCTTCTGCCGTCTATCAACTTTGCGAGTGATGAATTGAGCGATAACTTGGCCGGTATCGAACAACGATACTTGACATCAATACGGCATGAGATTGTAAAGCATCGCTAGAAATGCAGCAAAACTCACCCTCCCTGCAACAACATCCTAAGGATTCAAGATTCCCCCTTCAAAACCATCATTGCCTCCGCCTCACCATGGACGCAACATCCCCGTCCCCATCCAAACTCTCATCCACAAAACCAAACCTCTCATACAGCCCCTTACCCGCCTTGCTAGCATCCACATACGCCGCGACTCCATCCTCATCCGCAAGCGCACACCCCCACGCGAGCAACATGGACGCCGCGCCCCGCCGCTGGTATTCCGGATGCGTGACCAACGTGTCGAGATCTGAATGTTCCTCCCCAGATACCAATCAGCAAACCAACTACATATGTGTATCACCAAGAGCACCTTATTCTCTCAGGACAATATCTCAAGAATCTCAGGACGCCCAGGAGAATGTAGGTCAATAAAAGCGCAAGGGAGCAACGGAGAAACCCAGGACAGAAGAAAGACAAAACTCACAATAATGCCTCTCATCACCCATAACCCGCTCCCTCTCCGCCTCCTCCCTAGCAAAGAACAAATCACACACCTCGGAAGGCATATCCCCCGCCCAAGGAGGATACCGCCGGCCCCTCTCGGCCGGCATACTCGTATCCCACTTGGCCCACGCCGCAATCCTCGGCCTGCCGCCTCCCCCTTCTTCACCTCGACCCCCTCCCCTATCCCCTCCCTCCGCCTTCTCCGTTCCGGTCACGGTAGCAACGCTGCTCACATCAACGACCTTGACAAACCGCTGAAACGTCTTCGCCGCCATATCCCCGCCATTCGCCTCGTCCCACCACGCCCTCACACCGGGAGTATCGGGCCACAGGCGGGATATCACCTCGTCGCCGGCAAACGCCGCGAACCACGTCTCCGTCAGCGCGGGGACGTCGTCCAGTGTCGCTTCCTCTAGTTTGAGGGTGTTTTCCTTCTTCGTGGTCATATTGTGTTTTTCTCCCCTTTCTTTCTTTTCTTTTGCTTTCTCCTTTCTCTCGTCTGTGGCTTTCTGCTGTTTCTCTTGTCGAAAGATTGCTGTTCGTTGTGTTGACGAGCGTCGATCACATGTCATAAAATCGACACTTTCTCCAGGCTTGTGTAAGGTAGTAGGTGAGATGAGAGACAAAGAGATGCATGAGGAAAGCATTCTTTGGCTTACTAGGTAAATCGAGGCGAATAGGTAAGCAAGTAGGACAAATGCGGGGTTTGCATCTTTGTCGATCAGGGGCAGACGGGTAGGTAACACGATCGATCTAATGTGTGGTTAGTATTGGCTGAACTTCAGTCTCAAATCTCAGTATTTGACCACCCGTATTCGTCCTCAGCTAATTCCCAGTTTTTTTGACTATCATACGATGATGACCTTTGCTGAAGACGGCGCAACTAACAGAGGCAGAGATCCTCATACCACTAGATGCTGACTGATATCCAAAGGAGTGGGAAGACATTGGCACATTTCAGCATACGCTCGCTCGCGAGCCACAAATTTGATCGGCACTCTTTTTGCATAATTGATTTCAATGATGCAGCAGTCGCCAGTAATGGGCACAAATTTTTATGTACAAACGCAGTCCAATGAAAATAGCTCCCGTTCAACTAAAAAAAAAATAACGCAAAAGTGCTCGCAGACGCTAGGTTCGGCGACCCTCTCATCTTTGTTCTGCAACGCTTCTCTTAAACCAGATACGTCATCCTCGTTTTTTTCCACCTGTCTCAAACGTCGAAAGGAAAAACCAACCCAGGCGCTCAACCGTTTCTTTACTATCCAGTCCGGGAGGCCTGCGACACCGAGGAGAAAGTTGCCGCCGTCTATATGCAAAATACCGTCTAATCGTATTGATTCTCTCGTGCGCCGGTCTCGTCTCAATCATCCTGATTACCAAGGGGAGCGTATCTACCGCTGCCGCTGCTGCTCTGGTCTCGCGTGCGACCAACAACTCTGGAGACCCATCCGCTAATGGTGCTGCTGGCCTCACCATCCTGGCCCTTGCCGTCGGGAATGTCGGGAGGGTCGAGAGACAGGCCAGGAATGGCGCTGTTGGCAGTAAAGTTGCCGGGCCGTCCCCGGTATTCGGACCCAATGGGCGATCCGGGCATGAGCGAGTCGTTCTCGCGGCCATGCAAAGATGGTGTTCCAATAACAGTGCTGGCGTCGCCAAAGAGCGAATCCATCTCCTCCAAGCGGACACCGCATGTCTCGGGGTAGATGAAGTATACTGCGTGGGTGTGTTAGCATTCAAAGTCCAGCCCGTGTACGAAGGACGCAACTTACCAACAATAAAACTGACTGCACAGAAGAAGGCGTGCACAAGATACAACCGCCACTTGATCCACTCCTGGAGCAGAGGCGTCATTTCTCCGACGAGCCAGTTGAACGCCCAGTTGGTTGCGGTTGACAGACTGGCTCCCTTGGAGCGAATGCTCAGGGGCAAGATCTCCGGAGGGTAGAGCCAAGGAATCGGGCCCCATGAGTATCCAAACGCCGCGTTGTAGATCATGACAAAGATGACGACCAATGTGGGTGTGTAGGTGATGTCGAGGTAGAGCCAGTACGAGATCATTGACAGTGAAACACACATGACAATGGCACCGCTCAGCAAGATTGGCCGGCGACCCCACCTGTCAACCAGGTACCATGGGGGAATGGTCGAGAGAAGGTAGGTGATGCCGTTCACGCCAGCCATGAGGACGGCGTCATGACCAACCCAGCCTGCCTGTTCAAAGACGTAGGGAGCATAGTAGCTGATGACGTTGATGCCGTTGAGCTGAGCGAGACCCTGAGCTGACATGGCAATGAAGACACGGGTGCTGTACTTGCGGAACATCTCGGCGTATGTCCTCTCACCCTCCTGTCGCTGGAGAAGCACGTTCATCTTAATTTCGCGATACTCGTCTCGGGCCTTTTGGTTGTGGATGTCACCCTTGCCGTAGAGGTTGGCAATGACAACGATACCTTCTTCGTCGTGATCGTTGTCAAGGAGCCATCTGGTCACAAGTCAGGATCGGGCACACAAACATTCACGGCAAGCAGAAGACCAACCTTGGAGATTCTACAATGACCAAGCTTCCAAAGCCCAGAAGGGCCCCCATCACGCACTGCATCAGAAGGGGAACACGCCATGACATGTCACTTTCGATGAATCCGCAGAAGTAGTCGACCCACACCGAGGTGGTATAGCCGATGATGTTGCCGGAGAACTCAATGCAGGCCAGCTTTCCACGGTTGTGGGGAGGGGAGATCTCAGACTGGTAGACAGGGACGATGGTAGACAGAGCACCAACGCCCAGACCAGCAATAATTCTGCCCAACATCATCATGGGCATACCAGTGGCAAATGTCTGCAAGGCACCACCGACAAAGAAAATCATGGAGCCATATAGAATGGTCTTGCGTCGGCCGATGATATCGCCAACCTTGCCAACGACCAGAGATGAGATAAAGGCGCCAACTTCCAGGATGGCAACCATGGTACCAATCTCGGCCGAGGAAGGCTGATGGAAGTAGTTACGGAAGTAGACACCTCTGTGGATCCCATCAGTTAGCTATAATGATCAAAAAGGTGAGCAGCGGGCAGAGCATTAGACGTACGTGATGATGCCTGACATGACACCCTGATCATAGCCGAACAAAAAGACTCCCAAGGAGACGAAGATACTCGTGAAATAGCTGTTGGAAAAATTGTCAGTCAAGCGATGTCGCGATAAGGGTAATTTCGGAAGGGCAGGACGCACATCAGGGCCTTGCCAGTGAGGCCGTGAATAGAGGAACCGCCCGGCATGATGGCGCCGATGACTCGCTGCGCGCGGGTCGGACGAGGTTGGGCGATGTCGGGAACCTCGATTGCCTCCTTATTAACACCTCCACGACGGGTTTGTGAGTTATCGCGGCGACTAGGAGACTCTTGGATGCGAACACGCTTCTTCTTGGAAGACTTGTGAGAGGGGTGTCTCTTGTGAACGCCGGCTAGCAGCTCGTCATCAACGTCGCTGGGCAGCTGGGTGCGAAGGGGGTCTTCGTCGTCGATAAGGTCGGCGATGTCCCCAGTGTCGGTCCAGGAATCGGACTCGGAACCGAGAGAGTCCTCTGATGACGGGTGGCCGTGGTGATTGTGTTTGTCGTTGTCGAAGTTGTGGTGTTGACGGTGGGAGGTGGAAGAGGAGGTGTGGTTGTGATCACGGTCACGGGCGCTGTGGTGGTTGTCGTCCCGATCAGATGCTAGCAATGACGTCGCCTGTTCTTGCTGGTCTGGATGTGGCCGGGACTGCAGGGTCCGCAATGGGATGTTGGACGGGAGACGTCTACCGTTTGAAGAGGGAATCTTGGGCGGTTATGGGGCTGATTAGCGACAGCACCCTTCCGCTCTAAGAGGAATTGAAAAGGTTGGGGGGGGTGGAAGTGAAAAAAATGTCTAAAAGACGACAACTGGCGGGCGGCGAGTCGAGTCGAGTCGGGTCGAAAAAGTGACGGTGCTTTCTGCTTGGTGCTTGGTGCGTGTTACTGGCTGCGGCGAGTAGGCCGAATCGGCATGTAGGTACTCTGTAAGGTGAGGTAAGGTAGCGTTGGATGACAGGCCAATCCACTCCCTGGTGCAGCACTGCAGTGAGAGACTTTGGTGGGACTGGGAAGGGGTAGCTATGCGGACGGGCGGGCTGGCCGTGGGACCGCTGAGCAGGTAGCTCTTGGTGGTGCAGGTGCTTGGTCCCAATGTTGGATTTTGGGGAACCTGGGAAAAGGGATTGGGGAGCAAATCGAGGCCTGCTATTGGTGCTGCTGTTACTGCTGGGGCGGAGGGGCCTGGAACAGGACGGGCGCGGGATGGGATTGGGCTGGAAGGGAAGGAGAAGGGGGAGGGGCCAGGCCAAGGCAAGTGCCAGGCAGACAGGCTGGCAGGGCAAGGCAAGAGAGATACGGGGAGAGGGAAAGAGGCGGGAAGGGACGGGAGGGAGCGACAGAGAAACTGCAAGAGACAGCTCAACTCAGGCTTGCGGCAGGAGCAGCAGACAGGCGGCGCGAGTCCGGCTTGGTTGGTGCTTTCCAAGAGTGGATGCCGTCGATGCAACCTGCTGCACAGTGACACACGGTCTTTCCAGGAAGCCTGTGAACTTGGGAAAGACCAAGGAAACCGATTGCTGGGGGTCCCACTTTCCTTAGGCTGTAGGCTGTAGCTTGTGCGCTGAGCAGCAAATTGTGGATCGCCGCTGACAGGTGCAAGAATAGCTGAAGACGGGAAAGTAGGTACTCTGTACTGAGGTATCCTGAGAATAGAATTCCAGAGATCAAATTCCAGTCTCTGCTTTCTTCTCCTCTTCTTCTTCTCGACCAATGCCAATGCCAATGTCTCTCAATTCTTTTCGAACAGAGCGAAGAGACAAGGTACAATGGAAGGGCAAGAATAATGTCCAGGAATCCCGGCTTGATGGAAGTGTCTTCCTGTGATGGGTAGGTACCGATGAGAAGCAGATGACCAGCGAAATGGAAGCCAACCTTGTTCCTTCAGGCTTCCCGTATCCTTTCGGTACAGGGTGCAGCTGGCCAAGGGGGCAAAAAGAGTACAGGCCGTACGCAGTAGTAGCGCGCGAATCCACCTGAATGATGCTTCTACGCAACGGTGCAGCAAAGACGATGCCGCGATGGGAAAAGGGATGCAACAGGCAGAGAGAGAACTCTTGAAAGTCCACGCCGCTGTCCGATCTTCTCCTAGGGTACAGATAGCACCTAACGGGTTTGAGGCGGTATGCCCAGTAGCGCAGATCTACCTGACCCTTTGCCTTGGCACAGAGCCCCGTCGATACAGCACACAGCACGCAGCAGCACTCCGTATCGGTAGAGCGATGAAATGATTGAAGTGGGTTGGTAAATGTGCTGACCAGTGCCGATGACGAAGTCGATGGAGGACGTGAGATGGTTTGCTGCTAAGGCGGCTACCCGCTTGGACGGTAAGGAGCGATACGGTAGATAAGGTATGGTAAAGTACCTCAAGAACCAGGGATAGAAGAGTGAAAAGAGCAGATGGGAATGGCAAGCATGAAGCGGGAAGGTCAACAAACGGTCATGCGGCCGAGTGTCAGTCGAGTCGTGGGTGGTGTCCTTTATCGAACAAAAGGAGTGTCAGGTGGTCGGTCTGAATGAAGTGTCTGTACGGAGTACCGGGCTACGAATGTTGCTCGAGAACGGGTTGGAGGTTGAATGAATGGTAGTTGAGTTTATGAGCCTCCTTTGGGGGAACGCGTAGGATACCGTAGACAGGACGGGGCACACGACCTCCTTTTCTTGCGGCTGGACGAGCAGCAAGGGACAGATTTCTGTCTTCAGTCCTACGCCCCTGAAATGAGGATTATCCGATTCTGGCGCATGGGTCCCGGGAGCCAAGGGAAGGGAATCTGGGAACTCTCTGCGGACGGGACGGGCTGTCCAATGCGATTGCCAGATGGACAGATTACACAAATTACCTCCATCTCACTTCTCAGAGGCTGAGGAAGTTACTCGCCCACCAAGTATGGATCTGTGGATGGACCTGCTGCGTCGTACGCGTCTGAAAAACTATGGGAACAGAGCGAGGCTCAAAGATCAGAGAGAGATTGAGGGACCACTCAACTCCAGACCCGAACCTTCCATCACAGATTCCATTTCTAATTCCACCGTCCAGCCCCACGCCTCGAGGCACTACACGCCGCACAACTTCAATCCATCCTGGGCCGCGTTGTCCATCCCATACTATGACACTACACGCTCGGCACGCTGCTCTTGGCCCTCTCAAGTCACAGGCGATTTACGTATCGCTTACACTCCTATCTACAGTTCTCAACGTGAGTTCAAGTCATCATCTACTTCATAGGACTGACCACGCACGTGAAACCGTTTGCTGACTCGATTTGTGGGCCATTCCCTTGGTCCCGAGGGAAGGGATCATCGGCGTGTCGTCGGGCTTTCGGACCATACGAGACCGCCCCCAAATCTTGCCTTTTGCGACCAATCCCGTATGCCGACAGACGACAACCATGATGGGCGTTGCATTCGTCGAATTGAGGCCCGTCTACCGTCACAGAGTGCAGACTACCTTACAGTGTATCAATCGGAAATTTCCTTTCCTTGAGGCTTCTTAGCCGTTGAAGATCGTCCCGGCTCGGGTCGAACTATCCGCCGGTGCGGTTCGCACACCCTCGTGGAACTGTCGTGCCTTTTTTCGTTTCCGGGCGCGCTATCCCGCTGCCGTGTGCCAGCACAGGCGTTTTGCAACGTCCATCCAACGGTTCCGTGAGGGTACACGGCCCCGTTTTTGACGACGATGCCGAAAACCGTCAGAGGGAAAAGAGGCTCCACAACGGTGCTTTGCCGTCGTACCTGCCCTTCGCCGCGCATCAAAACATCGACGTCATTTCTTCAGGACCCATTCGAGATGCAAGAGGGTTCATCCTGCCACAACCGCCTGTACCCCAGACAATGCAACCACAAACCCTCTGCGCAATGTGTACGGCGTGACAGCCTGACCCTCGCCAACCTCGGATCTGAGAAATCTCTCTCCCCCAAAAAAGAATTCAGATTCGGAGTTGCAGTGGGACATGATCCAGCCTTTTCGTGACCACCTGACACATTGTTGCATGGACTGATCGACGAGTCAAAAGTCGCAGACACGTATGCACGCGACAGCAGACAACAATGCACATATGTTCCCACGACCGCTCGACCGACGATATTGGCACTGTCTCGAGAAAGACCCTGAAAAGGAACAACTTCCAGGTTTGGGCCCTCCACTTGGTGAATGCTGTGGTCCACATAAGTCTCGAGAAACAAAGCTGCTCACGACACGACGGACGGGCCTCGTTTTCCACTAATCCATCTTCGTGCTTGAAAGTCTGCATTGGAAGAGCGGGGATGATTCCTTTTCTTTTACGAGTACCTAAACTCCCAGTCGATCCCCCCGCGCCTGGGTTGCTCACGAGTCGCGCCCGGTCAAGACCCCAAGACCCCAAGACCCTTGAACATCGTGGAGGAGGGGAAGCAAACTGGATCGTTGACTAAGACACTGGAGGAATGACCGTTCGATTTCCGCCGAAAGCGTAAGTTTGTAATGTGGGCGACGTGGGGGAAGTGTCATCCCGTAAGACCGTTGACGGTTGAATATCGCTTATTAGTCAACTTGTTGTGCAATAAGCATAGCAGTAGAGAGCTCCGATCTTCGGCCAAAATACTCAAATTCAAGGCAGAAATAATTGAGTATCATTCATTATGTCAATTGAGTTATGCTGCATGCGGTGCTATTCATCGCAGTGTGTGTGTGTACCGTAAAGTAGGCCATGCCTAGGGTAAACAAACGCCCGTCACTTTCCACTTCCTATCAACACCCTACCGTATACAAGATCAATGAAGCATACGGAAATACCCCCAAAGAAATCAAACTGATCTTCTCACCGCAATTTGAAAGCATGTTTAGCAAGATATCACATGTGGGTCGTGAGGCCGGGGTGAGCAGCAAAGTGGGGACATATCGTGAGATTGTCCGTGGTGGAGCACAAAAACCTCAAAACACGACGAGAATCAACCAAAAAACATACAACACCAGGTATTCGCTGGTCGTCACCGACCCAACTACTAATCCGGCCCTCATTGGCTTGTCTATGGGAGAGCGGACGGGATCCCGAATTTTCCAATGGGTATGGTCGTATGTGGTGGTTCGACGCGGCCAAGATGATCATATTGTGGTGGGATGACGAGGGATTGTGTCTAGAAGGAAGTTTGTGTGGTTGTGATGAGTGGAAGTGAGGCCGTTCACACTTCAAGATAACTCTTCTGGAGGACTAGATGTCAGAATAGCTCCTGCTAATATGAGATTTGTATTAGATATCTGGCTGTTGCCCCATTTAGTCCCCGAACCTTCACTAGACTCCACCAAAGAGCATGAGAGGGACAATAGAGAATGCGTTCCTTGCAGAATTGTTCTTCGACTTCTTGGGCTACGCAGTTGAGATGAATCAAACAAGTACAAAGGGTTTCCTGGTAAAGTTCGTTTTCACAATACGGCAATCGTCTTAAGCTCGCGCTACAAGACCTTACACTTACTAATAGCCCCAAAGGCGACTAAGCCGTTGACATTGAAAGTATGACATTCAGTCTTTGGTTATCTAACGATGAGTCTTTAATGATCTATGAGTCACTGTAATTCGTGTGAGGCGGCACAAGTAGAAAACTTAGGATTCGCGATCCTCGATGAGCGTGATATTCTGTCTGGACATGTTTGCTGCTCTTCGAGAATAGAAGGACTATGCCTCATCCTCTATAGACGAATAGCCCCATTGGAAAGGAAACGAATGACAACTAGACACAGCGATCTCAGTGTTTAAGTAGGAAGCAAGACATTTGCCTCAACTTTCCCTCCAATCCCTCAACCCTCATACCAACATCAGGCACGGGAGGTCCACATAATCGAGTCCACCTCTCTTCAATCTTACATTTACGTAGTGCCTCCTTTTGAGACACGCGATTCTCCGAAACCATGCAGCTCTTTAAGTTGTACGAAAATCTCATCATTGAGATGGCAAATGCTCTTTATCTCCCTTATCTTAGTCGGAGCCGGTTCCGCGCCACAACACCGAGCCGTTCCGTACAAGTTCCGAGAGAGCGGGGAACCCGATAACACCAAACCGACAACCACCATACTTCAGGATTGGATGAAACAATTCTCAATAAAGTTCGATTTTAGATCTCTGTTATTTCAATGACGATGAACCAGCCCGTTCGGAATAAGAAGGAAAAGTCTCGAAGTGGGTAACACCCGCACCTCTTATATCTACTGTGGTCGGCCCCTTGACTAACACCCGGCTTCTAATCAAGGTGGTTGCCTCGTGTGTAAGCGACGGGTGAGTCTGTTATGAGCTGGCATTTCTATCGAAAGCTTTGAGACTCAAACCTAACAACGGAGTGCAAACCAAAAGCGCGTCAAGTGCGACGAGCAAGAGCCGAGCTGCCAGAGATGTATCAAGATTGGGACCGAATGCCCCGGATACAAGAGACCTGTGAAATGGTCTACCAAATATGAGAAGACGGCGGTCTCTGACCGCAACACGGCCAATGTTTGCAGAGGAAAGACTTCCAGACTGGCTGAACGTGACCAGAGACTCCCAGTGTTGCCGGAGAATCCGACATTGCTGGCACCTACACATCTTGAAGATGTACCCCGTCCCATTGAGACCAGGGAATTCGATACTGTCTTGGTGTCAGGCACGTTGAAGAGCATAGGTACCATCAGGCCGTTTCAGGACTGTTCGGGAGAGGTATCAGCACTCTTGCACTATTACTTTTCTACAGTCTGCCATGTTCTTTCCTCGTTCGATTCCTTGCACAATCCATTCCGCTCGGAAGTGCCCAGGCTATTCAATCAGTCTCCGCTGCTGCTCTACTGCGTGTTGAGCATGTCCGCCGCACACCTGTACCAAAACGAAGAGTCAAAGATTGCTGTTCCATTGGAACTCCAGACCAAGGCCATCTCATACTTAGCTGGGCAGCTACCCACGCCACCCCCTATCGACGGGCTTGAAGTGTCCATCCGCCATGAATCAACAGTAGGGAGATTTGTTGGATCTAATATTCAAGATGATGTGCTGCTGGGGACTATCTTACTAGGAATGACATCGGTATGTTCTCAACGCTCTCTTAGCTTCATTCAAATTCTCCTGTGGTCTATGATTGATGAGTTTACAAATAGGCCTGGCACGACGTATCTTCCACGGGGTTAGTGCATCTCCACGGATCGAGGGAACTCTTCAAGGCTTGGATGTCATCCAGCCATCTCAACACCACCAACGACAGAAGAGTAATGGGCGCGACGCAAGACTTTGTGATCTCATCCATGGTGTACTGGGAAGCCATGACCTCCTTCATCGTGGACCAAGACACAGATGCCCTATCCTATCTAGACGTCTTCTGCCACCTCCCATGTTCTCTCAAAAGGTACCCATGTCCCTGGACAGGTGTCGGAACAGCCACGTTTATCTACCTCGCTAAAACGGCGGCGCTGGTGAGGAGACTGAGAGCTCTGCGGCGTAGCTCATCGGGCATGTTCCAAAGGAGTGACGGCATTACCCAGGATACATCCTACTACTCGGATCTCTTACGACAAGCCACGGTCTTGATACAGAGCATTTCGGCACTTGAAGCGCCGACTGTGAGCTCAGTCACGGATATCGGGGATGTGTTTACGCCTCCGGGTCACCTCATCGCCATGGAGCGATGTTACCGGCTGGCGGCTCTACTCGAGTTAAGTAGGGCATTTCCCGAAGTAGTGGGCACACATGTCGTTCAGAACCACGACGCCGGGCTGAATGATGACGAGCAGGAGAAGAACCGGCCGGTAGAAAGAGTTTGCAATCTTGCTTTGAGAATACTCTGGATCATGGAAGGGATACCCGTCACATCTGGCACCGTCTCGACGCAGCTTTTACCGCTCATCATCGCCGGGAGCGTTCTCGGTCTAGTTTCGAGAGAGAATATTGCCGGTGAAGGTATTGAGTTTCTGGGCAGTTCGAAAGAGGTCGCAAGGTGGAGAGATTTTGTAAAAATACGCACCCGTTGGCTTTACCAGTTGATTCGACTGAAGCCCGTGAGGCATGGGTTGCTCATCTTGGAGGAAGTTTGGGCGCGCTTGGATAACTTAGACGCTGCAGATTGCTCTGGTGATCTCATACCAAAGAGTCAAAATCATCATTGGATCGATGTAATGGAAGAAAGGGGGCTAGAGACAATGTTAGGGTAAAGGTATAACAAGCATGGCAGAGGTACTTCAGCCCAGACTTACACATGACAACCCGCAGACTTTACCAGGCATTGGTATCAGCAGAGGCGGAGTAAGTAGAAAAGCATTCAAGAATAAAGACTCAAAGAAGAACCAGCGTTATCAGCGAGTTTGGAGGTCTCGGCAGTTGAATGCCATCCGTTCACACGCTTCAGGATGTATTAGCGCACCTCGCACTTTTTGTCCTAATTAGGAAATATGTGTCCCCACCCGCCACGATGTAGTCGACAACGGCGATAGCAGAGACGGGAGTGGTGGACATGGGCATAAATAGACTCTGCCTTTCCAGTCGGCTTCAGGCTTTGGACCATCTTGTTTTCATCAGCTTGCTCTAGTAATTACTCATTGGACATCGTCATAGGTTATCATCCGCTCTACAACCCGTCGTTCTCCTTTCACACCATGCCTTCAACTCGAGACGGCTACCTCTGGACTCCATCCGGGGAGACGATCGGTCTAAGTACAAAGGCAGTGATCAAATCTACCCTGGAATCTTCCATCACAGAAACATACGACGTAATTGTAATCGGAAGCGGCTTCGCCGGTCTCATTGCCGCGCGCAACCTTAGCCGTGACTCTAGCACTCGAGTTCTTCTCTTGGAAGGCCGAGATCGCATAGGAGGAAGGACTTGGACAGCCAATGCGCTAGGAGAGGACTTTGAGATGGGCGGGACATGGGTACACTGGAAAGTCTTTTCAAGTTGTCACCAAGCAAATGATGCAGACCGACTAACTAGAGGACAAACAGGCACCAACCCCACGTCTTTACAGAAATCCATCGATACGGCCTACAATCCAACCTGAAGACGTCTTCAGGCACAGCTGCCGTGGAACACACACTCTACACACCACAAGATTCGAGGCCTGCGCTGGTCGATACTCTTGCCACCAACATAGCCGTCCAAAATGTCGCGGATGCGTTTTTCTCCATCGACGGTCTGTCCAGCCGCAAGTTGATGCCTTATCCCCACGACCCATTCCGCCTTCCTGCGCTCTGGACAAAGTACGATCATCTCTCCGCCAAAGACCGTCTGGATCAACTCGACGTTAGCCAACGCGACAAGGACCTCTTCGACGCCATGATCAGTTCTTTTGGCGCGGCCCCCGGCAGCGAGTGCGGTTTCACTGAAGTTCTGCGGTGGTATGCTCTGGGAGGCCACTCTATGGCCGGAACGTTTGAGCTTGCTGGGATGTACAAGCTCGGTGGAGGCGGGATGACTTCGCTGGCCCGAGCGATTCTGGATGACTACCGCGGACATGTGGTGTTAAACGCCGTGGTTGAGAAGGTAGAGCAGCAGGGATCGACTGTTGTGGTGTCTACGAAGAATGGACGTCGGTTCGAGGCCCAGTATTGTATCTCAACTATTCCCCTGTGAGTGCTTCCTCTTCAACTCGAATTCCTAAGATGCTAAGAATATGCCCAAGGAACTGTCTGTCAGACGTGTCCTTCTCCCCCCCGCTCTCACCACTCAGACTGGAAGCCGTTCGGGCAGGTCACATCAATAAGGGAAGCAAGGTTCATTTCCGGCTTGCGAAGCCTGAACCGGGATGGTTCTCCATGGCGAATGGATATGGGACCTCACCTTGGTGTTTTGCATTCTCAGACCACAACGGCACCACTGACCAAGCAGACTCTGGCAACTTTTGCATCGGGTTTGGCTATGGCGCGCGTCATATCGACACGAAGGCGTCTACTGAGATGATCACGACTTTTCGAAATAACATCAGACCTGAAGCTGAGGTAACAGCTTACCTCACCCACGATTGGGCCAACGACGGCCTTGCCAAAGGGACTTGGAGTTGCTGGGGACCTAATTCAATGAGCAAGTGGCTTAAGGAGCTCCAAAGACCAGAGGGAAGGGTTCACTTCGCGAGCGCCGATTGGGCCGATGGATGGCGAGGGTTCATTGACGGGGCAATTGAGAGAGGGACTACCGTAGGACGGGAAATTGAGGTGTTGCTTGCGGGAGATAATGCCATTGCTAAGCTGTAGAGCCTATGTTTACCGATTGAGTGTGTTATATCGATCCTCAAGTTGAAATTTGCCTAGCAATGGAGCACCCACAGACAGCTTCAAATACCAGGGTGCGGGTTTCTACAGGTTTAAAAGTCACATCCCCAAGGACCAAGAGCCTTGATGTTTCCCGATAGAGGCATTGTCTTTGATATGTATCTTTATTAATAACAGAGGCGATTTTTCTCATCAAGATGAACCCTACTTTGTTGTACATTAACCGGGCCGCAAGCCAACCTTCTTTTCGGGTAGCTGCTAGGCCTCGCTCTCTCATCTTTGTCTATACCCTTTCGTCGAGTCTTCGTCATGTCCAACGATCTATCGGGCTCAGCTCCGAGACTCCACGTTCTACCCATCCAACGCCGTTGCTTGTTTTCTTTTTGTTGTGAACATCTAGGCTCCTTTTCTTCTTCTTCGTTTATTTCTTAATCATGCCATCGAAGGCGGGAATGAGGGTCTGTGCAAGCCAGAATGAGAAGACCAGCTTGGGTCCAGTCATGAGGAGCTAAAAGGAAAATCGAATGTCAGCAGGTGGTCGATAGAGGAAGGAGTTGAAGGGGAGCTGCTGAGTAGTCTTACCTTGGGAACCAGGCCCTTGAAGAATGCGGTGGCACCCTCGTTCTTCATCATGTTGGAGATGATTCTAAAACCACTCTCGGGGTTCTCAAAGTTGCGGTTCTGGATACGGGTCTTGATGACGTCGAGGGGAGCGGAGACGAGGAGGGAGGCGGAGGCGCCGGCGATGGAGGCGATGAAGTTCTGGAACCACGAGGCCTTGTTGTAGTCCTCGAGCTTGAAAAGGTACTCCTTTGTGAAGGCGGAACCACCGAAGAGCTGTCGATAGGAAGGAAACACAGGTTAGTCACTGTCATAGACCCGAAATTGAGATTAGAATGCGCCTACAGCGAAAGAACCAGGAGCGTTACGGGCGGCGGTCCAACCCCAACCTCTGTACAGGCCGAAGCCCTCGTCGGCGACGATTCTGAAAACACCACGGCCGCGGAAGGCCTCGGGGTTTGTCTGTCTCTTGATCTTGAGGACGTCGAGGGGAAGGAGGACGATCTCTCCGATACCGATCAAACTGTGATGAAGTCGTGCGTCAGAAATGCGAGTCTGTCCCCACAGGTTCTCGGTCTCCGAGCTTTGCGACTGAGAGAATTTACTCACCTGCCGGCGGTGGAGTGCATGATAGCCTTGCCAGTCTTCTTGCCGAAGGCGCGCTCAAAGTCCTCGCCATAGTTCTTGGCCAATAAGTCCCTGGCGATGGGCTGGCCGCCATACTTGTATATTCTCTGGAGGACCTTGTAGCCGGCGGCGTATCCCAGACCGGGGAAGAGCGAAACGAACTTGCGGCCCGCTGTCGCGTTGGCGGTGTCCTTGAAGATGACCTTGTTGAGCTGCTCGACGCCGGAGATCTTAAATGCGAAAACGTGTCAGCTTTCCCATGTCGTTGGAGCTTTGCTTGCGGGAGGCAGGAAAGGGAGGGGGTGGAGCTCGGTCCGGCGTACCTTGGTCTGGTTGCTCATCAAGCGCTTCGCGATGGTGTCGACCTGAGCTTCTTATTAGCTTCTCGTCCCACAGCTCTTCAACTAATCGTAGCTCTTCGTGGAACTCACGGGGTGGAAGACGGCCAATTCAGCGATACCAGCCGAGCCTGCAAAACGTCAGCGCGCCGGGCTTTCATGCGCGGGCGCAAAAAAGAGGGAGCATACCGGAGCCCAGAAGTCGCGCGGTGTTCGACTCCTTCTCCCGTCCAGTACCAGCAGTCGGAGACATCTTGATAGGAATCTGCGATAAAGTGCGAAGGGGAAACTATAGAAATCCAATTGAACAAGAGCAAAGAAAGGCGGGTTCCAGAGGTTCGGACTGTCGTCAGGTCGTGGGGGCACGGATATCAGGAGCTCAAAAGAGGAGGGTGATTCAAAGTTTTGGAGTCGACAGCTGGGAAATTTTTACTCAACCACTTTGGACCGAACTCGCAGCTTAACTTTTGCTGACCCTGCAGGGACAGGCCCCCCTGGACCGCCGAGCACCGGGAAGTGGAGCCTAGCACGGCAGGGATTGGTTCGCCGCGCCGAAGCAGCTTCCATCTACCGACCGGTACGCTAGCTCAGACCGTTCTCGACCGATCGGACTGGATTGCGGCTCGGTCTATAGATATGGATTCACTTGACCGCGACCTACTGAACGTAAATTCTCACTCGAAACCATATCATGTTGTCAGAACAAAATGTTCCGCTTGGACGAAATGTAGAGTCGCACCCCCATTTCAGCTAGGGAAGCCTGTATATAATGCTGAGACGCCGTTCCTGGAAAAAACTGCGCTTCCTTTTGATTTTGGGTATCTATCATCCTTTTGCCCTCCCCAATTTGGAGCCACCCGCTCAATAGCTCATTGCATATGCCGATGATGGTGGCACCTGAGGCGTAGTGTACGGTTCTATGCCTCAATCTAGTAGTCTCTGAAGACTCCCACTAGTTCGTCCAGTCTCATGACATGAGCCAGAAGTTTGCTCTGCAACTCCAGATACTTGCTGTACTTGTTGTAGTGTTCTGCAGTCATGACCTCTTCCTCCTTGCCCTTTACGTCCCTTCTCTCGACGAATGACAGAATGTTGCGTTCTCGGTAGCGATGCACTTCCAGGTTTTGAAGGCATCGGAGCATTGCTTTGTAGTAGTCATCAACCAGCTGCGCCTCGGTCCTTTCAATGTCAAAGAACCAGAAGAACATTGTTCGCGTCGCTGTTCGACTGGCATCTCTGGGAACCTCCTGAACATCAACGAAGCCGGCCATCTGCATGGCAAGCATTTTGCCCTGAACTTCTCCTTTCTTCATGAGAGCGAGAGACGGGAGCATCTTCTCGTCCAGCTTGCCCTTCTCTCGCATAATGCGAGTCAAACGCAGTCCATGCCGACCGAATGACTGCTCGATGACGGCATCCACCTCTGTCTGTTTGAAACCCTCGATTAATGGCTTGAAATCGACGGTCCACTGCCCTCGGCCTTGACTGCCACAGTGCCGCAGAAATCCTTGCCGGCTTTCAGATAGTAGTAGCAAATGCTGCCTCATTTTATCGATACGGCTAGCGCCGGATATGGGCCCATCTTCGAATCTGACCTCGCGGGATCCAGAAGCTGTCCGTGGCCCCTCGTCTTCGGAACCGCCCGAATCTGCTGCGCCGTTCATGTTGGGACGAGCAGAAGCCCTCGGAGCCATCGGAAGTTCATAATCAGAGTCGTCGGAATCGTACATAGGCTGGCCTGGCGTGGCTCTAACCTTCTCAGCACTGCGAACGTCAATCTGATCTGCAGAAGCCTTTCCAACTCCATGAGAGACGTCAACGGATTCATCAAGGTTTTCGAGTATTTCCAGACTGGTCACAGTGACTTGGCGTGTGCTTGAGCCTGGACCGTCTGCGTCGTTATCAGAGTCGATTCTCGGATCCAACTGACAGCGGGACACCTGTTGCGTCAACAGCCGTAGAGCCGTGTGGTATACAAGGCCGGTGACTTCTCCAAAAGCATCGGCTGCGTACTGGGCTAGCTTCTGGTTTCGCAGCTCAACGAGACACTTCTCGGTGTTGACCCTGAGAACAATGTGCGACTAAACTTTGTGATTAGCCAGGGAAGAGGAAGAGAGTATTTCGTGCAGATGAAGACTCACGTCGATCTCAGGTACATCCTCATCCCAGTCTGCGGATTCTCTTGCTCCTTTGCCATTGGCAAGCTTCCTCCGCTTGGTCGAAAACATGTTACCTCGTCCGACTTGTCGCTTTAACTTTTTGCTCTCGTCGCGTGCCTCTCGGAGTCTCTTTGAAACTTCTGTTTGCATGAGCTCTTTGTTCCGTGCTGTCGCTCGCTCGCCAGGGGCCGTTTTGGTGACCTCCTCTTCGATTTCGCGGTAAACGTCTTCAGGGTTTCTGAACGTCTTGGGCCCGACCTGATCAACAATTTCCGCCACAATTAGCCGATTCAAGACAGCGTGGAGCTCCTGAGCCGCATGCGACGGCCCATGCCCGTTGACCTTTGTCTTAGAGCCGTTGCCATTGACATGGCCATTCGTCGCATGGTCGCCATTAAGACCTGTCTCGTTCCTCCCCTCGAAAGCCTGTAAGAGATCCGATACCCTAGCGTGGCCGAGCTGCATAATAGTTTGTACAATCTCCTGTTCCGCGGGGCCGAATTCGGTGCCAACCATCTCGATTATTTTCCCAGCGCGGATAATATTGTAACATCCATCGGGATTCGCTTCATACGTGCCGATCTTGTTATTGGAGTCGGACTCGTGGTAAATAAGGCTTTGCTGAACGAGGAGGGCTAGGCCATGGCGCAGCTGCCGCGGAGTAAGACCAGTGGTTTGGATTAGTTGAGCAATGGTAGATCTGCCCTTGCTGAATAGCACAGCCAGGATTCGCTGGAAGACGAGCATTTGTTAGCATGATCAGTTGAGAGTACATAATGTGTAGAGTGTGCGATGATGTTGCGCCGTGTGAGACATGGGGATAGTGTTTAACACTTACTGCAGGTAGCTCGCCGCATATATCGTTGACGAGGTGAGCGCATAGCTCAGCGCCATGCTTGGTCTGGTGGAGGAGTTAGAGGGATTATGACTTCAGCTTGATCAGCGCGATGCGAAACCTACCACCAACATGGCGAAGCTTGGATTCAGGAATCAATTGACTCTAGAGATCCTCTCAATATCCCTAGAGCTGCCACACAAGCTACCGAGAAGTCATTGAGATAATACAGTGCCGTGTGCTGGGTATTGAACAAAGCACTTGGCCACGAATGATTTTGTCGTAGTGAGGGTCGCGGTCTTCAAGTGGTGGAGGGACTGAAATAAAAGTATGGGAACTTTTTTTCTGAGCGGCGGGCCACCTAAGGCGGGGTGGGGGACAAAGTCGATGGAAAGCGCCGAGTCACCGACAGAGTCATGGAGGCTGAAGCTTCAGGTGGATGGAAGGCGTGGCTAGAACCTC